GTTTAAATTCATACCTGAAGCAGCTGGAGAAGGGGCTGTCTTCTGCACTAGTTCTGGTAAAGCAAAGGAGGAAGGAACTCGTTCATCCCGTGACCAAAAGATCTATTTTAAAGTGTTCTTTGAACAGCAGGTGGAGGCAGTGCATTGCAGACCGCTGCGCCGAGCCGAGGTGCAGTTTGGGTGAATGGTTTGGTCGGTTATGTCCAGTAGATGGGGCAGTTTTTGACCTCAAGGAAGTGATAAAATTTTATATTATGCATAAAAATCCTGGAAGAACAGATCTGATCTTTGATATGTGATATTTTATATGCTTAAGAGATGTATACAGTAAATGTAATCCATCATACTTAAGATTGATACTGGTGGAGGTTAGAATCAAAGTCCAAAGGTATCTTCATTCTGTAATAAAAAATGCCATAACTTTCAGTGGGTGACCCTTTAGATCCTTAATTTAATGACAGCACAGGAGAACTGTGGTTTATTTCCTGGTGAAGTAGCTTTGTCAGCATGTGAGTAAGATGTTGCAAACCAGAAATTTGCCAGTACTACACTTGATTTCCTTCTCTTAATGTTGCTGCTGTTATCGCTTACCAGAACTGTGATGGGCAGCCTTTTCTTGGTGTTCTTCAGCGGATAAATTTTGTGTCTCTACTGAGAACCAGAAGCCTTCTATCTACCTACGTCAGAGGAGTAATGTTTCTTAAATTGTTACAAGATCAATTGCAACTTCAAGGCTGATTTGCTTTCTGCTTATTGAAAAAGAATGTGTAATTTTCGCATAGTTCACAGGGTATTGAAGAGCAAAATGTTTACTCTTTCATAGTCAAACAATTCATAAGCTGTGATAAATGCTGAAATCAGCTTGGTGGCTTTGTAGTTGTACAGTGGGAAAGGTAGCGTGATGACGAGTGTGTGGTTAGTGCAGGAAGAGTATCTGATGTTTGCGCTCTACCACTTAATTAAAAAAAAAAAGCTTGAATTGCAAGAGAACTGGGAGAGCGGGGAGGGAAGAGAAGAGGAACGTGATGTGGAGACCTCTACATGTGTCATGAAGTGCTGTTGAGAGTTTAGTCCTTGATAGCCCTTGTAATCTGTCGGTACCAGCTTGTAGCCAAAACCTGTGTTAAGATCAGGAACTTTTGCTTGTCGTTTAAAGGGAGGTTTAGATAAATATTGGTGGTGCACTTTCGAACAGATTATTGGCCTCCAGCGCCCAGTATTTTAGGTGATTGCATCGAACCTGAGAGAGTCTACAAACATGGAAATTGCTGGCTAGTTTGTGTGGTAGTGTAAGCCTTCTAGATTATTCTAGATAAAATTGTTCTCAGGGAGCTAAAGGCGGCAATCATGGTGAATAGATGAAAGAAATGGTGTAATTATTTTTTTCTTTTATGCCCTGTATGTGCCTAGGACCTGCAGGGGAAAACTGAAATGCTGTATTAGGAGTTAACAACAGAGAGTCTGTTCTTGTTTGCATAGAAGATGTAAGAGACAGAAATACATGATGTGTCTGCCTGTAAGCAAAGTGTTTGTTGTTCTGTTTTACCTGATAACTTCTGAACATTTCCTAAACAGTATTTTCCCCTCTTAATTTTTACAAACTAACAGATGAACTACAGTTAAAATATGACATAGGTAATAGATACGTACCTGTAGAAAAATAGAGAAGATGCTCTATCTCTGATTTTTTTTCTTTTTTTTTCCTTCCCACACATCCATTCTCTGTTCCTTACCTGTGTAGATTTCCTTAAAACATTTTTCTGCTTTCTGTTGTACTTTGGTTAATTTCTGTTTTGGTCCCATTGCAGTCTGAATCTTAATTCCAGAGTTAGCAGGGCAAGGGCTGTTTTTAATTTTGGGACTTCTAAGGTGATCTCAGCACTATGATCTCATCTCTTCTCCCTTCTCTCACCTTCATCAATTACCTGTTCTGTTTTCGTGGTAACAGTGCTCCTCTCTGTTCCTGTCATCCCAGTCCATTCCTCCACAGAGTTTGTTCTTTTACGTGACCTTGCATACTTGCCCCGGTTAGTTATCTTGACTAAGAACTTACATACTGTGCTTTTGGGTGCCTCTCATCCCTTTTGTGTAACTCACGAGCTATTCGGTTTTGTTCTGTTTTATCTCTTGGTTGTAACTGTTTAATTAATGCAGCTGACAAAATCTTTATGGTGTTCTCAGAGGGAGACATGATTTATGTTTATTCCTAGTAGGGGACAATTTCTGTTTGTTTTTACCATATCTGTGATAAGTCATTGTTTCCTTTTCCCTTTGATTCTGTTTTCTTCTCGATTAACTTGTGTAGAATTCTGTTGGGGATTCAGAAAACAGCATCTTCTCCCAAGAGCTTGTTAACAAGCTCCTTGGCTTAACAGAACTTGGCGTGCTGAGAAAATGTGTTGAGTTGCATCACTTCTGGCAATCGTGAATGCTTGATAAGATGAACATACTCCCGAGTTACTTAGTCAGTTGTTGATTTTTATCTGTACCGCTTCTTCTGTAGTTGAGGCCTGGAGATGAATAACACAAGTGCGTTATCAGGTGGTGGGTTTGCATAGGCCATCCAGTTAATACATGTAACCTTATTATTTCAATGTAATTTTATTTCTATATTTCAAATGTTTATGAACATCCCCATTCCCAGCTCCAAAGACAACACCAAGCTTATTTATTTTTTTTTAATTTTAGAATGGCTGTCCTCTGTTTACAAACAGCAGTGGTTTGCCATGCTCAGAGCAGAACAAGACAATGATATTGGGTAGGTATATTACAGGCTTTCCTTTATTTCTTTCTTAAATTAGAAACCTTCCTCTCATATCAATTCTGACATGATTAACTTGAAGTTTATGTTAAGAAGAGCGGGGGGAAGCATACGTCAGTGATTTTAAACCAAGCTGTTCTCTGTGGAGCCGTCTGTTCCCTTGGGCTGGCTGATCTCCTGTCCTTTAAACAGTATAGCTCCAGAAAACTTGTATAATGCGACCAGAGGTAAACACCGGGGAGGGATGTTCTGTATTTTCTTTTACGTTGGTTAATGCTTCTCGCTGGTACCCTGCCTTGGAATACGTGTTGAGGCTGTGAAAGAGTAACTTACCAGCCTTCCATTTTAAGGACAATCGTAGGAAAAGTACAGCAGCTGGAGAAGAAGCCTTTTCTGTCCTGCTTCCTTCTTCCCTGGGCTAGGTGGGCACGAGGTTGTGGTGCGGTGTAACTAACTGTATTGGTGTAGAAGGCAATTTGTCAGCTTTTGTTTATGCGGGGATAACTGCACGCTAACCTTTGTTCCTGCCTCTCCCATCCTAGCCTCCCAGGCAGCAAGCGAGGGCCCAGCACCCAGCAGGGCTTGGCATCCTGTAACCTGTTCGCCTCATTCCCTTCTAATTTCACAGCCTTTCCCCCACCCAGCGTTTATGTTTGATAGCTCTCTTCGCTGCCAGCACCTCCAGCTTTTCCCAGGCAGTGCATCCTTCTCCACTGCTAAGACCCTCTTCTCTCCATAATCCTCCTGGTTTATATCCTATCTTTTCTCCTTCCTAGACCCTGTGCTGCACTGTGGTGGCATTGCATTGCCGCTGAAGAAATTCCGTAACAACCACCATGTTTCTGTGCCCTTTCAAAGACTTGCATGTAGCTGTACTTGGTGTAACACCCTGACCGGTGTCTGCAGGTGTAACGCGTAGTTGGGTTTCTTTAGACTGTGCCTAACAAGGGTTGTCAGTGGTGGTGGCTTGATTTAATGTATGTTACATATACGCATGTGACCACGCACTGTTGCACTTCCTTCTGCTTGCTTTTTGCCACGTTGCATTGAGCCAGGTCCCTTGAGCTCATTCTAAATACCAAAACAATGGCAAAATGCAACCGAGGGAGTTGTGGCTGACTTTGTCTTCTCTCCTAGTTCTTGGTGTGCTTTATGGAGAATAAATGTCAGGTCAGGAAGCTGCAAAGTGTTTGTTACCTTTCAAAAACCAGTAAACCAACTTCTTTATTTTCTTCCATCAGTTTTGTTAGCCCAGCATTTGCCATTCTGAAGATGAGCGTGTTCAATTGCAATGGTAGGCTTAACTTAGTAAGTGCAATCCGAAAAATGTAAGAACCACTGTCCTGATTTGAACCAAAGGCCATGCAGTCTGTGGCAATGTTCAGCGGGAGAGAGCTACAAATCTCCCATCTTCCTTTCAAGTGAGGAGTGAGTGTTCTCTTGATGTACTTCTCTGGCAGTGAGTAGTTCAGGATCTTCCACCTGGTCGTTATTGAACGACCAACCGCCAATAGACCTGTTCTTAAATACGCACAGTTCTGTTTTGAAATGCCTTATGCTTTAGCTCCAAGACCCTGTAGCAGCTTCTGTGGCTTAATTGTGTATTATATAGGAAATATTCCCTTAATTACTTCCTTTTGATGTTACCGTGTAATAGTGTAAAAAATCTCCAAAACTCTGGCTTTGGTCTTAAGAAGATCTTTAAGAAGTGGTTCTCTTTGTCAGCAGCAGTACTTTAGAGAATGGTAGAGGGTAAAGTACGCAGTTGTGAATCTCATCATGTCAGCTCCTAAAGATTAAAGCCGCGTGGTCATAGATTGTTTCTGATACTGATGTTTTCTTGGGAAGACTTTTCTTGGAATGCTGTCATTGATGTATCTAACAGTAGACGAACGTACATTCTAGCTCACGTGGGAACCACAGTAAATAGGAAAGTGAGCATTAACATAGTCATCAAAATTCTGACACAAGATAAGACTCTGTATTTGCTTATTTTTGATGTCTTTTGGTAGCTCACTGTGATGCAGTGAGAGTATTCTAATTGTCAGCCATCATCAGCCATACATGCTTCTGAAAAAAGCAGCTCTCATGCCAAACTGAAGTGAAGATGGTGGGGATCATAGCAGCTTTTTAAAATGAGCAACTTTCATGTTCAACTACAGCGCTGATGATTTCAGTGACTCTTGGAATGAGCAGAGCATTTTTCCACGGTTTTCTTGCTTGTCTAGTTTTCGCTTCCGCAGTATGGGATTTTTTTAAGACAACTAAAACTAAAAATCTCAGGCACAGAAAGTTTTAACTAACTGTAGACATCTGTTTGCCCAAATCTCTTATTCCAGAGTTTGTTGCCAAGGTCTTCCATTAACGGCAGCGGTAAGAAGTGGGTGAGATCTAGTGTTTTCTCCTCACTGTATCTTAGCTTCTGACTTTAGTAGCTTACAGACATCATGGTTCAAGGTGGCAACCAGGATACTGTTTGTTTAATTCTCAATAATGGATTAATTGTCTTTGAACGGGGTGTTCTCTGGAGCTGTGTGGGAGGTGGGGGGGTATGCATGCACGGAGTGCTTCCCTGGAGTTATGTGCAGCTCGGTTGTAACATTGCTAGTCCATAGCACGCAATCTCTGAGAAGATAAATGTTATTTGAAAGCCTGAGATCACTTCTCTGCCTTCTACTGGCAAGCCGAAGTGCCACCCTGCAGTGAGATGCCTGTGGTTTGTAACTCGTGTCTTAGAAGGGAAGACGTGCAACTGTTCCTTTGTATTAAAGCAAATATTTTGGACGTTTGACAAACGTGTAGCTGAAAGAAAAGAATTAAGGTTTTAGAAGACCATCCTTTTCTCCAGATCTGCTGCCCTTCCTCTCACGCTTGCTGCCTGTATCGGTATCTTAATGCATTTTTTTTTTTCCCTTAGAGTTAAGGATGCAAACTTAGTAAGCTGAATGAAATGTGGAGTCTGACTCCCAGTGAGCTGAAGTAAGGCTCTATTTTCATGTCCCACCTGGTGCACAGCATAATTGCACCTGCTTATCCTAGGACTGCCAATGTGGAAATTACACGGCTTTGAAATGTGTGCTGTGGTTTGCTCTTTTGATAACTTTAGAGAGGAGAAGAAAATGTTTCTCTTCTACTTCATGTAGTTTGCATTTAAAAGGACTGAACGTTTTATTCGCTCTTCAGAATTTGAGAATTTTTTAGTGTAATACTGGAGTTTGTGACTTTGAACTGCTCAAGGTTTACTTGTGCTAAAGTGGATCACTTATTTTTTTTAATCAAACATTTGTTCTGTGGCAGACGTTTGTGACTTTGAACTGCTCAAGGTTTACTTGTTGTGCTAAAGTGGATCACTTATTTTTTTTAATTAAACATTTGTTCTGTGGCAGATGCAAGACAGATCTTTCAAGTCCATTACTGGAATCGTTTCTACTCTAATGGTCTTTTTGGCAGTGTTTAAGAACAGAATAGAATAACCTGACTGTTTACTAAGCATATGGTAGGCCAGCGTAAGTGGTTAAAGCTGGAAGTTCTGCATCTTCTGAGGCTGCTCGAGGAACTGAGAGGGGGGAATACTAATGTCTGTCTGAACATTATGTACTAATGTTTGTGAAATTTGTCACTAATTAAACAGAAATAAATCTTTTATCACCGTGACTGAATTCAGGTCAGCTACATAACCAGTTCAGCTAGAAGATGCGGAAAAAGCACACAGGAGGTTCTTGGATGAATTTGATTAGCATGATTAGCTTATTTGCTTAACTTCTTCATAAAATACTTAATCTTCCAGGATTGGTTTTTACAGAAACAGGGGGTGAAAAGACCACAGACTGAGTTTGTTTGTAGAAACTACAGCCACAGGTTCTTGGGGGGTGTGTACAGTAGGAAGAGAACAGATGCTGCGTTTCTCCTTGCTTATATAGCCTGAAGTGTATCGTTCGATATCGTGGGCTTATCATTTCGCTTGCTTGTGGGGGTTGCCTTTCATTGTGATTTATAATGCTCACTGTAAGCGTTTGTCCTCAGTGTAACTTGAAGACTTTCTGGCAGTGGTTGCTCATTTGGCTAATGATGTAATCGTGTCTAAAGTTAAGTGAGTAACATACCTCTGGAAAACTGGGACTGATTTTACTTACGCTGGCTCTGCAAGATTTTTCTACGTGTTGAAGCCCCAGTGGAAACTGTTGGGTGAAGCAAGTTCATGTTGGTATAGGATGACAGAATCAAAAGGCTTGTGGCACTTCATGATCACTGTGGGTAAACTTTTTTTTTTCGACAAGTTGCATAACCAGCTGCTTGAGAAATCTTTCACAACGTTTCTGTGGGCACTTCTTCGTAGCACTGCTATTCTGCAGAGTCCTGCGGCTGTTCCTTAGCAGTGGCACTCGTTTATGTTTGTGCCTAGTAAGTCGGACTACTGCATTGAAAAAGGGCTTAGGGTTTTGGTTTTTTTTAGGAGGATTGGAGAATGTATGACATTGCAACAACTAATATTTTCTTATCTGGAAAGGTTCTGTAAAAGTCCTACTTAGCTGAAGTTTATGTTGCAGTTTTGTAGACTAGTTGGATGTTCGTGGGATAACTTGGGTTGGAAGGGATCCTGGGAGGTCACCTTGTCTAACCTCTGCTCAGAGAAGGGTCAGTTGTGCGGTCAGACCAGTTCACTCACGTCTGCTCATCTTTCCCACGTTAAGCTACCATACAAAGCTGTTTAAGTCTCCTTAAAGATGCCCTTTTTTATTTTTGTAGGCCTCAAGAAATAAATAAAGAGGAACTGGAAGGAAACAGCATGAGGTGTGGTCGAAAACTTGCAAAGGATGGTGATGTAAGTACGGCACGTGGCTAAGTCTGTGCACAGCTGACATGTCTTAGACATGTTAGGTGTTTTCAAAACATGTAGGTCTTAATTGTCAAACTGCATCAAAAAGATGTAATGGAGATGGTACGTTGAAGAAGTTATTTCTCCCTAGAAGGATGAAAACGCTTGCTGTCTTTGTAATGAATAAGGAATTAGTGTTTTAATTGTGCTCTTGGGCTGCAAGCAAGGCCATGTTTGGAAAAACTTTTAGTCTGTGAAAGGAGGGAATGTAGCCATGACTTACTGTTGGAGACTTGTAAAATACACGCAGTTAAAATACAGCTCTGATCACAGATGTCTTTTTCTTTTTAACTGGAAGAGGAAGCTTTCTAGGTAAAATGTGTAATAGCCACAGCCAGAACCCCTGTGTGTTCCACATATGTATATGTGTCTTTAGAAAGCAAGTCTTGTGAAAAAACAGAAAACACGGATTTTTTTTTTTCCCCGCTGAGGTCACTCAACGTAAGGATCTTTTACTCCAAGGAGTGCTTTAAGCATGAATGGGACGTGTAGTTAAGTGCTACTCAGGAATATAGCACCAGTTACCAGAATGCAGAAGCATTTTAGATCCATTTGTGTTACACGTATTTTTGTATGTTTAGAAGGCAGCTGACACTAAGCTCATCTCGTGTAGTTGTCTGTCTGCAAATGTTGGCCACTGAAGTGAGTGGTTGCCTACCAAGATGTCCTATGTTTCAAATAGGGGTTGGCAAGGATCCTCGAATCCACCATACATCTCTGTAGCTTAGAATCCCATTCCCAAGTTTGATTTTTTTTTGGTTTTTTTGTTGGAGAAGTGGTGCTTATCGTTCATGTTGTAGCCCGTACTCAGACCGGCTTCTTTGTTTTTTAACTTCTGATCCAGTACTGCTGGCGGTGGACTGGGTTCAACTTTGGCTTTGACCTTCTTGTTACTTACACGAATCGTTACATCATTTTCAAACGGAATACGCTGAATCAGCCGTGCAGTGGATCGGTCAGTCTGCAGCCTCGGAGAAACATAGCCTTCAGGTAAGCAGTAACCAAGAAGGCAGACCCTGTGGTGTATGCTAAAATGTCTTAGCATAGCTAAGTCTTTCCGTCTGTGCTTGCATTAAATTTTATTGCCACCAAGTTAGTTACATTTGAAAATATTAGTCTGTCTTCTTGGGAGAAACTCTTTGTGCTGGAAAAACTAAGTTATAGGAGACTAGGTAATTTAACTGTTGTTATATCCCTAGGTTACGTCTAGCCTCTTTTGATAGCAGTGGGAAAATTATTTGCAGTAGAACAACAGGATATCAGATCCTAACCCTTGAGAAGGACCAGGTACGTTTGTGGATTTTCGAGCTGTTGAGTTGTGGAGTCCCAGGCATGAAAAAAATGCTGGGAAGTCAACAGTGCTTTTGAAGAGGAGTTGTTGTTCTTGTTGTCGTTGCTTATGTGCAATTTCAAGGGCTCCTTTTATAAGCAGCGGAAGATTAAGCTGAGCTGTGAAGTGTAACTACAGTAGGATAGCGTGGATTTCGCTAGTGGTGATAATAGTGAAACTAGTTCCCGTGGTGCTGCTGAAGCGATCTGCTGTTAGTGTGGTGTTCTGCCGGCCGACCGCTTGCTTTCCCAGACTTCCAACACCGGTGAGATTACCCGACTGAATAATACGTCCATCAGGCTCCTGCTTATTTAGAGGCAAATCTGGAGTTTGTTTGAAGACTCTCTTGTATTGCAAGCTGAAGAGTTAAAAGAATGTCTGCATATTGTTCACGGGTGGTATTTATTACTCTGTTAAAAAAAGAAATAAAACCCTTGGAGAGGAGTGGAATTTTCTTAAGAGAATGTGCCCATTTCCACCCATCCCTGACAGCAGAATTTAGTGTGAAAGCCTTGATCAAGTTTCTTAAATCCTAGTCAGCAGCGATACGTGGATGGTGAATACATAGGAAACTTTTCCTTGTAAATGCCATCCTTACTGTAGGATAAAGTTTCACTTTTGCTACCCCAGAGCCAGTTCCTAGAGTAAAACCTAGAGTAAAATTCCTACCCACAAATTGTAATTTGCTTTAAAGTACAGGCTGTTACGGATTGCCTGGCTGGTTAAATCTCTTAAAACTGATAGTGGCAGAAAAGTCTCCCTTCTCTCCAGCGTGCTTGAAGGTAAAGTTTGCTCAGCCACTTCTTGCGGTTCTGTTCTCTTTGACACAGAAGGGTTGGCAGCACTGGGTCAAAGGCTTGTAAGCATTTTGAGAATGTCTTATCATGTTAATGTTATAAAACGTATGCATAAGGTGAAGGTGATTTACTCTCTTGGGGTTTTTTTTATCTTCTTTTTAATACATTGTAATTAAAATGTAGAATGACTGTTAGTATCGACCTTGTGTGCTTTTTGATGTCATTCCCTCTAACGGCATCACTTGCTATGCAAATGTCCACTGTGTTTGCTTTCCAGGAGCAGGTAGTAATGAATTTGGACAGCAGGCTCCTGATCTTCCCCCTCTATATCTGCTGTAACTTCTTGTACATCTCTCCAGAGAAGAAGACCGACAGCGAGGCACTGCTAGATAATTCGGAAGCCTGAGACCTCCAGTGGGATATAGTAGCACTTCTATAACTCTGTATGCCTGCTTTAAGTTAAATGCCCTGCTGACGCACAGAGCTTTGACAACAAAAAAGGCCTTACACTGTAGCAAATATATATATATATGGCCTTAGTATACTCCTATGCATATCTGAAGAGAAGATCAGAAATTATATAGGCCAAAACTAGTTATCCCTTTTTTTTTTTTATTTTTTTTTTTTAAATTTCTGTTCTGCATCTTCAGACAGTAGCCATTCCGTGTTTGGGAAATGTTACGCTTTTATTTTTCTGGGCGAAAACTGAGCCAAATTGGAAATTAGGGAATTTGTGTCAATGACATCTTAACAAACTTACCTGTCAGGTTCTGAGCACACGTTGCAGGATGTGTGGGTTTTGTTAGTGTGTGGTTTTGGGTTTGTTTTGGTTTTGTTTTTTAATAACTGATCTGTAAATACCAGATCCATATTCTGCTTACTTTTGTGGTCCTGTTCCATTAGGACCAAATACATCTGTGTAAATGTTGCCTGTCAACTTCTGTCAGTTAATTAACTGTACGGATGTTCAAACCTCCTTGGTTTTAAGCCTTTATTGCATCTCATATGCGTATATTTCTTTCTTGTTCTTGGGCTTTTTTTAACGTTGCAGCAAATATTTATCTTTTTTTAGCACATGAATTTCCTAATAAGGATGCTCATAAGTGAATTTATTTTTCTTCCATGTACTGAAAATACTTTAATATACTGACCATCGTTTGAGTCTATTATACAGCAGCAGCTTTCAGCTAGGATTCTGCTGAATGCTTACTGTACTCACATGAACCAAATACCAGTTTTTAAACATTGTGGTTTTGTGACTTGTTTTAACTGTTACATTGGGAATATATCCCCTTTTAGCTCAGGAACTTGTGACCTTTGAGTGCCTTTTGAGTTGTATGTGTTAACACAAACTTCACATCAGTTAAGCGAGGTCACAGGATCCAAAGGAAGAGCTGGGAACAAGGGGTTCCTTTTCAGTTGGTTTGAGGAATGAGTCGCGTGTAAGAGGTACGCTGTGTTCATTCTCTGTATGTGTTGGGTTTTCTGTTTGTCTCTTGCAATTTTGAATTCTTACAGCAGGATTTTTGGATTCAAAGTGGGAATTTTGCCTCTTTAGTAGCCTATTTTTTTAACGTTGTCAGAAAAGTATAAAACCATTTGTACTTTATAACAAGGATAAAAACGTGTTAGGCAAGATGGAAAAACGTGGCAACTTGTCAATAAATGATTTCAAGTGGAATACTCACCAGTGTCTCTCCTTTTCTGCCATGAATAGCTTTTTCTATTGGATTCAGCCTGTGGATGCACCTCTGCATAATCTTGTGTTGTCATACTTCTTTGGAAGCAGAAAGCAGAAGCATTTTAACGCGTTCCTCTGCTACAGCATTGAACTTGGTATTTAGGTACTTATGTAAGCAGTTTTTCTTTTTTTTTTTTTTTTTTTTTTTTAAACTAGAAGTACCAAGACCTTAAAACTGTCATTCATTAAATGTAAGGAAATATGGGCTGCTTGTTAATTGGCAGAAGAGAACAGGTACGTTACAGTACCTGGGGTTTTTTGTCATGCCAGAGTTGCAATCTAAACTTTGGTGGAGGAATGAGCTGCCACAGGGCTCCTGCTTTGTGCTGAGGGCTTAGCATCTCCTGTTCAGGTCCGGATCCTGCTCTGCCCTTACACCCCGCTGGCTCCCGGGGCCACCCGCAGCCCCTGCTCGCCCTGGACGAGCCATTGCTGTGTGCAGACACAGCCCTGGCCGGCGCATCCCCGTGCACATCTGCCCTGGCCCCTGGGTAACCACCACCCTGCAGCGTGATGAGGATGTGGGACATGGAGCAGGAGCTTACATGAAACTCATCTTGGTATTTTTTTCCAGACATTTAACGACTCCTTCCCTTGATCTATGGGTGTCCTGCTCCTAACGTGTGCCCTCCCTCGCCCTCCTGGTTGTGGAGGGGCTGTCAGCGCCAAGAAACAAATCTCTTCCCAGCTTTGGTCCTTCTTCCCAGTGGATGGGATCAGGGATTTGGGATGGGGCCAGTGGTGCAGGTGCCCTTCCTAAGGGGTTGCCGAGGAGTGGCTCAGTACAGGAGTGAGAGGAGCACAGAAACCCAAACACATCACAACTTACCCCAGAAAATGGGTGGTTGGTTTGGTTTTGGTTTTTTTCTCTCTTTTATTTGTCACTGACTAGGAGCAGCAATCGTGGCACAGGGGAGCTGGGAAGCACAACACCACACTCAGGAAAACGGTATGGAAAGTACAAAAATAAGGAAGAGCCTATATATAATATCATTGCAGTCAATTACTAAAAATAAATATTGTAAACACAAAGTAACAACATCAGGTGAATCTACAGTCACTCATTTCTGCTAGCAGCTGAACAGTCTTTGGCTTTATTCAACTCCCCCCTGCCCCGCACGGAGCCAACACTCACATTAAGATGCATTTTCTTTGCTTCAGGCCAGAAAGACTCCAGACTTGTCAGGGGTGTCACAAGGCAAATAATTTGACTTTTTCTTACTCCAAACTGCCTCGTGACCAGGCATCGCCTCTTTTGCCCTCAGTGGCCACTTTTCTACCAGAGTAAGCAGAAGGATCTGTCCAAAAAAGGTATTTTCCTCTTTATCTGCTGGAGGGGAGGAGATTGTGGCGAGGTGGGGGGGACCAAGGCTCCCCCCATTCCAGTTTATTTTGTTGCTGTCTTGGACCACAAGTCCCTGTGCCACCCGTTGCATGGGGACTTGCTGGGTTTGTCACTGTTTTATACTTGTCCCCGCTCCCCTCCCATGCGCTGGACCTTTTCACCCTTTAATCTCTCAGATAGCCTGGGCGCTTTGGATTGCCTGATAAGAGATGGTGCAGCACAGAGGCACCAAGGTATCGCCTGTCCAGCTCCCTCTGAGCTGCCTCCAGGCCAGAGATCCGTGCATTTTGGGTGCTCCTCATACGTCTTGGGTGACTGTGAATATGCTTTTTCCTACCCAGCCTTTGACTCCAAGGAGGGAAGAAGCAAATTCCTCTTGCAAGGCTCGATAAAATGCTGCTCATATAGAGATAAAACAAACTTTAAAAAAAAAAAAAAAAAAAAAAAAGCAGGAATAAAATCCTGTCCAAAGTACCAACGAGGAGAGAATTGACAGAAAAGAAAGGTCTCCACCCCAGCAGCTGATCCTGTGGAAGACCCTGTTCTGCTGCCAGCATGGCCAGAGAATGTGCAGGACTGCAAAGAAAATGCATCCTAATGGGAACAACCAAGCGAGACAAAAGCCATCCTAAACCCACAGAGCAGCGCTTCTTACTGGAGGGAAGAGCCAGACTGAGCAAGTCAAGCTGATCAGTCTGTCCATCTCTCCCTATGCACAGGTTTGATCTTCCCTTCATATCAATGTTTAATCTTCCCTTCTTCATTTTAAACACATTCACGTAACATCCCACGGCAACATTTTGGTGTGAGGTTACAGTCCCACTGAAGTTACAATCAGACTGCACAGCAAACAGCTCTGGTGCTCATCCCCTTTGAGACAAAAAGGAGCAGAAACTTTGAGAAGCGTTTAATAAAAACCTCTCCTACAGCCACGGCCGAGGGCCTTTCTGCAGTCATGGGTTAACACGGGCGTCTTGTAATGCTTCAAGTATTGCTTTTTAACCAGGAGCATTTCAGACCCTGCTTTATTCTGCGTCAAAGCAAAGGAGAAGCAAAAGCTTCCAAGCTTTACGGGAGCCTGCTAGCTATCCAGGTGGTTATCCATCTGACCGAGCCCAGCCTAAATTCCTCCCTAACCTCACGGAGCATTCAGATCCATATCGAGCTCCAGCCCGTGGCTCCCTTGCTTTGTCAGCCCCACAGAGCTGCTGCTACCGCTACCCCCAGACACTGTGGGACAGACCCGAAGCGGCTGTAGCTCCAGGTGACTTGTGCTGCCTTTACCTCCTCTGCTCTTTACTTCCTCTGTTCAGGAGAAGAGAAAGCGCTCAGCAATTCACCCACCGCCACCCCGCGAGCTGAGGGCTCATCCTTCCTGCCGCTGTGAAGTTACAGCCCATCCTTTGCTGCAGCGAGAGGCAAGGGGAGCGCAGTTACCCTGTTCCACCCGTCCTTGCTAACCAGGTACTTAACTCCCCACGTTTTCTTCTCACCCTGTCAGTCACCCACGCCAACAAATCGCTGAACTGGAGCCTGAATCGGCTGTAACAGCAGGGCTGCCCCATAGTCCCAATCTTCCCCCAAAACTACAGTCGTATCAAATTTAGCTCACTAACTGATGAAAACACTACGCGTTTCAAAAGGGACACAGCTGGATAAGAGTTTAAAAACACAGCCGCTAACGCAACCTTCTGCAGGGTGCAGCAGGTAAAACCATTCCTGGCTCGATTTTTCAGTAGGCAAATCCTGGTCTTCTCAGGAAAGAATCACACACGACTGCTCGGTGCAGTTATTAGAGGATTTCTGTATCAGCTCTCAAAAATTTATTTAGCGTCTTCTAAAACTTCCACTAAACTTGGTTTCTTACATCATTTCTATACACAGATTTTATTTGTTGTCATTGTCTTGAGGCTTATAAAAAAATAAGCATTTGAAATGCCCAAAGAGTAATTTTGCTTTAAAATTGTGCTACTGAACTTGACCCCCAACATAAAGAGATACTTTTGGTAATGAGGTTACCCCAAGCAGTATAAAAATATACATAAAAATAGACAAAAACTCTATCCTCCAAACTGAAGGTCTGTTTGTGGGAATTATTAATTACTTTTTTTTTGTACATCACTGGAATTTCATTATCTTCCCCTAAATATTTACAGAAACATTCCTGCCCCGTCTGCCCGCCTCTGCTCACTCAGGCAGAGAACTGTGGCATTTCCTTCGTCCGTAGGGCTTTTCTCTTGGCAAAAATTAATCGCCGCTTTTCACCGCGGCCCGCAAAGTGACGCTACGGGCGCGCACGTCCCTGGGAACGCTGGCAGACGGCCCTGAGGATGCCAGATGGAAATGAGGTGACGCCAATTAATGCTGCTAACTTCATCGAACGAGTCGAGATTGCCTTTGCCCGTGCCTCGCTTGCGAGCCCACGCGCGCCGTCGGCACTCGAGTGCCCGTGCCCGGGCCGAGCGTTTGTTGGACCGGGACAGCGGCGTTGGGGATACGGGCTCGGACACGGCTCCCTGCAGAGCCCGGGGTTATTTCACCAGGTGCTGCACTAGGGAGCGACGTGGCCTTGCAGAGCAAAGCAGGCTGGGGAGGGCAGGGGGACAAAATAAAACCTCTCCTCAAGTTAAAACCAGCCTAATCCTGACAGCTTCGCTGCGGTGCCCCGCTGCTCCCCGCGCATCGCATCCCTGGCTTTCTGGTTTCCCTTTCCTTCTGGTGATCAATTCAGAATGCCCAAACCTCTTCTACAAATGACCTCAGGAATTTGGGTCTCTTTCTCCAGTCTACCCCAAGAAAATTTTAAATTAAAAAAATAACACGAGAAAAAAAAAAAGTACTCTGTGCCATTCTTAAATGACATTAAAAGATGAAGTCGAAACTAAGCAATATAACACCCCCCCCGAGACTATGTACATAAAAAGACGTTAAGATCTCTTGAAACATAAATACACAGTGTATAAATCCAGGTGTCACCCAAAGGGCTGAAGACGCAGAACTACTTCACAGACAAAAAGCAAACCAAACTCACCGCGCCAAGTGTAGACACACGGCCACGACGTTTGGGAGGGGGGGGGGAGGTATTTGCAGGGAAGAGACCGACCCGTGGTGGTGGTGGTTCCGCACGTGCACCAGGGAAGGGTGCTAGTGGTTTCCAGGGGGTGTAACACACATGCCACGCTACTACACTCTATTTAGGGTGCGGGTGTGAGGTCGGGAAATGGGATTAGACCCTGAGTCCCCCATTATTTCCAGGCACGTGCTCTGCTGGAGCAGTTAAAGGGGCGCCTCTAACTTGGATCCAGCAGGTTCTTTTAATATTGCTTCCCGACAGAGATACTTGGTATCTCTCAGTGCAGACTCGGAACGCGCCGGTTGAAATTCTGCACCCTGTGCTTTAAGAGTTACCATGACTTTCATGGAAATAATACAGCCTTGATCAGGGTAAAAGACTAATGGAGGTCTTTAGCCCAATCTTAAAGAGGTTTAGCTTTCTACAGCACGGACACGCTACGGCTACGACATAGATAAATAGGTACTGGTTACTGTAAAGTGACAATGCAGTGTCTGAATTATTCTAGCATTATCCTTTCTGCTGTTGGGGAAGATGCGAGAGCGGTTAGGAGATGTGGGGAGGAGAGCTGGTGTTTGACGTAGGCTGCAAGTGGAACAGGTCCAGCTCTAACTGGAAGCGTAGGTAGACAGCCAAAAGACACTTTTAGCTTTACTTGAATCGCGGTTTTATGGCATGCAATAAAACTCCTAAGACAACTCTTTATACAAAGCACACAGCATCTCCAGTCCCACTGGTGGTATCTCAAGAGAACAAGTAAAGCTAAGAGTCTGCTTGCAAGGGGAGGCCACGTGTGTGTGTGTGTGTGTACGGAGGGAGGGACCCGGGGGGGGAAACGTCCTGTTGTGCTGAAACCAAGCTCTTCGGCAAACCTCCATCCTTCTATCGCTGGCCGGCCTCCCGGATCCGGCAGGCCACCGCCGTGATGAGTGCTGCACCCTTGCCGCTGCCGTCTTCCGACTGGAGGAAGGTCACTTCGCACTTGGGAGACAACTGCTTCACTGTTTCGCGCATGACGGTGGAGAAGCTGTAGGGCACAGGGGGGAAGGAAGAGATGCTGATGTAACTTGCCTTGGGCTGAAGGTGCCAGCCCCACAGGGAACAAACCGCCAAACGCCTGTCAGCGTGGCTGCCTTCAACGGCATCTCAAAGGGTGCTAAGGACGTGGAGGAGAAAGACGGACAGAGAGAAAGCTGCCAGGTAGGGGGCCTCGGAAAGCCTAAGTCTCCACGCTTCAGCCCAAGTTCACAGCACAACACACTCATGTTCTCCCTTCACTCAGGACTAAACCCAGCCCCTTCTCTCATCCCACCAAGCCCTGAGAGCCCTGACCAGCCTCACCTGGGGGCATCTTCAGAGCCCTCCCTCTAGCCATGGGCCCCTCAGCCCTATTTAAGCTCAGCCCTGTGCCTTTAGCCCCTGACTGAGCTACATCATCTTAAGGACTCCCACCCTCCAGCTCAGGCGTAGTCATGTTTCTGCTTGGCCATGGGCCTTCTTAGAATCATAGAATTGGTTAGGTTGGAAAAGACCTTTAAGATCATCAAGTCCAACCAATCTTGATCCAGATCATGGTCTGACTTCTTGGTTTAGACCTGCCTCCCCACCGTGACTTTGCTCGATGATCTGGGCTCCTGGTTAAACCTGGTCGCCACCTCTGGGTCAGCATGGCCTCAGGTACTGTGGGGTAGGCCCTGGCTGGTGTGGGGTCCCTGCTGCGTTATCCATCCTGGCTCCCCATCCTTCAGGGAGCAGCTCGTTCTGGCTGTGCCTTGCACAGTTTAGACCAGTGAGGTACCAGCAGCCCTTGAGACCCTGAAATACCCCCTCTCCAACGACCCTCTAAGCTTTCCATCCTTAGCACCCCATCTACCCCAGGTGGGCAGATGCACCAGCGCGAGTCTCCTCAGACAGCCGCCCGGCCGCCGCACGCCACTGAGCAACTCACTGAGGGTGCAGCTTGTAGAGCGTGCCATCCACGCCAACCGTGACCTTGAGGAAATCCAGCCCGCGGTTCTCCCGGATCTTGTCCACCACAGCTGCCATGCCAGCCCCGCAGAGCTGGGCTGCCCGCCGGGCCACCACCGTGCACACCTCCTTCACGATGATACTGTCGTCACACGTGCTCTCCAGGCCAAGATGCTGGAGGATGGAGCGGACTTGCAGCAGGGCCAGGCAGTCGCTGGGGAGGACACAAGGGCTGCGTTAGGAGATGGAGCAGCTTGGCTGCGTGGCTTCCCCTTTCTTGTCTACATCCTGCAGAGCCCAGGGACTCGTGGCTTGGGTGGCGCCGACTGGAGGGACGCCACAGCTCCCCTCTAATCTGAGCTTTCAGATCTGGATGTGATTCTGAGGTCACATCCTAATCAGTGAGGCTATTTCAGGACAAAGCCATTGACTTGGGAGCATGACAGCTATTTAACCTCTGTCTAGGGCAGAGGATAAAGAGGCATCTGTGTTGCCAACCCCTACAGCTTCCTTGTCTCTCAACACTGGTGTTGTCAGAACCATGTGGATTCTGCTGACTTCTCTGCGTGGCACCACCCTATATCATCCTGGCTCCAGACTGAGTGCTGGGGACATCTCCCACAAGCCCTGGGAACGCTTTCCCCAAAATACATCTCTGATCTGCAGCTGTAAGGCCAGAGCTGGTGCTCGCCCCACCTGTTGGACCTCACCTTTCTATCTGGGACAAGAACTTGGTCTCAAAAATCCCTCTGGTCTTCAGCCTCTCTGAGATCCGTCCCCGGAAGAGCAGCCCTCGCTTGGTGAAATCCATCAGGATGTTTCGCACGATCTCCCCCAGGTACATCCCGCTGATCATCTTCTCAAACCTGGGAAGGGGAAGGCAAGGCTGGACATCAAGGACAAGAAGGGACACTGGGTCTGGATTGGGACCCCAGCTCTGCCAGGTGCCTTTGACACAGCCCCCTGACACCCTGGAGCAAGTCTAGCAGCACGGTCCCCAGCCTGCGGGATGCATCGGTGCGTTGCAAAGCCAGCCTCTGCCCTGCTCATCAGCCCCTGATGCCCCACCAAGAGGCCGGTGGGGCACCATTGAACTGCTCCTGGACACCCAGCCACAATCGGGGGTCCCTCCCCAGGCCCCCAAAGCCACCACATACCTTTGCTTCCCAGGGTTGAGAGACAGCTCGTCCACCGCCAAGTCAAACTCTGTCCGTATGTCGTCCAAGCAGCCGTTGTCACCGAACGCCCCCCACTCCATATTGACGCACATCCTGCCCTCCTCCCCTTCCACCAGCTCCACGTTCCTCATCTCCTCCATATAACAGGCATTGCTGCCTGTGCCTGCAGAGAGAGAAACATCTTCCAACAAGGCCGTCGGAGAAGTGGGGCACATACACAAGATAAAAGCCCTCGGGCACCTTCTGCAGCCAGGAGCACCCCACAGGGGCAGGTTTGGGACTGCAGGCAGAGGAGCTCCATAAGAAAGTTTCAGTCCTCACCGACTATCAGCCCAACGTCGCAATACGGATCTTCGTATCCACAGGTCATCATGGTGCCAACTGTGTCATTTACTACCGCAACCACATCCAGGTCGAATTCCTGCAGAGGGATGGGATTGTGTGGGTTATTCCTGGAGGACGTAGCTTGTTACCTCTGCTCCCATGACTGGGAAAGGGTCTGTCTGCTGAGCATGGGAGTCCCCCAGGCGCCCATGGACCTCCTGCAGCCCCGCGTGTCTGCAGGTGGATGCTCAAACCTCAAGACACAACTGCACAGGAGCTGGGACGCTGGGGCAGCCCTGCCAGAAACAGCCCCCAGGGCAGGAGCTTTGGGTGGTCTGCATCGAGGAACCGAGCACGGTGTCTCCCTAACCCACGACGAGACAAGTCTGCTCCAGCCCTGGCCAGAAGCCAGCTCTTAGCTCCGGGGTCTGAAAATCCAACTTCTAGTGATGACTAAGGGTGGTTGTTAAAATTCAGACACTCATTAGCCCTGTGCTCAGCCCATTAATTTGCTTTACAGGCCAATTAAAGATGCCGAAGACAGCCAGGGTGTGGGAGCAAGCAGCCGGCTCCTCACAGCTACGTGGACACTCACCGCTCTCCTGTGAATTGCCTCCTTCAGCAGGTTCACCACATCTTCTCCTTCGCAGCCGGTTGCCTTGAAACCTTTTGTCCACTTCAGGAGAATCCCCTGTTGTGGAAATACCCTGCGGTAAATCACCGGGCTGCTGGGTGGGAGGGACAGCAACCCCACATCCACCAGCTCTCGGTGGGCACTGCCCAGCATGTGGAGGTCAGATCCTCACGTGTGGAGGAAGCCTCAACTGGGTTGTCTCCAGAGCTTGAGGGATCTGCATTTGCTCTGATGCAGCCAGGGGGCTTTTCAGAAGCAGTGGCAGCTCTGAGCTCTTGCCTCTCCCCTCCCTTGGGTCTCCATCTGACCTGCCACATGGTCATTGGTGCTGGTACATAGAGTTTCCAGCGTGCTGCGGCTTTTCAGCCAGCCCTGGGTACCAGACATGCGTGCTACGAGGTGGGTTGGGGTTACCTCATCCAGGCTGGTCTGCTGGCAAGGGAAGGAGAATGTGAATCCGAGCGGGAGCGATACACCCTTCATTCCCATGTATTCCAGGAAGTCGGAGATGCAGTGGACGATGTGGTCAAAGAGCTGGGTGCGCAAAGCCAAAAGGAGAAGTTACCATCACAGCAAGAAACCCAGCTGGATGCCAGCCTGCCTGACCTACTGGAGTAGAATGGATCCATTCCCAAGCCAACAGGGCTTTGATCACACCAGCATGCTGCTCAGTGGCGCTGTGCGAGGTGAGCAAGCCCAAAACTGCTCCAGTTTCATCCTCTCCCCCACCAGCAACATGGTCATATCACTGTGATACCTCCACCTTGCAGGTCCCACGCTCCACCCAGAAGGGACGGAGGGGCTAGCAGGGAGGTGACCACCTTCCCAGGGGTGACACGGGAACCCGGTCCCTCTGCAAGGCATCCCCAGAGCCCGTCTGCCTCAGCTCCTCCTAGAAATACTCCCAGTCCCCAAGCACTGCCTGGAGTGGTTTGCAAAACTCCTTCCATCTGCAAATAAGACTCTGGAGATGTCTCTCGCTGCTTGTGTTGTGGTTTCTCCATCTGGGAAACGGGGATGATGCTTATCTGCTCTTGTGGAGTGTGTGGGATCCCTGTTCAGTGATGTCTGGGAATAACACAATTTCTAACCTAAAAACCAGTTTCAAGCTTCCCAAAGCACATTTCAAACTCCAGAGCCTCGGGCAGAACTCGCTGCTCTAAAGGCAGGAGAGCACCAGCCTTCTCTACCCTCCCACTTTTGCACCCAGAAAGCAGAGCAAGGCAAAACCAGCTCCCGTGGTCAGCCAGCACCACTGCCTGCCGCTTCTGTTGCCGCCCCAGTTCTCCACCTCCCGCTGCCCATCCTCACCTCCTCTCCCGTCCCCTGCATGACCTCCACTGGGATGGAGTAGATCTTGTTGTGCATCTCGACGCCGCGCCTCATCCCATTCCTCACGCGCACCAGCAGCACGCGGAAGTTGGTACCTCCCAGATCCAGGGCGAGGAAATCTCCTTTTTCTGAAACCCAAGAGAGAATCATTAGGAGAGAGATCCCAACAAGGGGCATCGTGAACATGGCACAAAGCCAACCCGAATCTGCCCCCTTTCCTGGGAGAGGACCAGCAACCAAGACATGGCTGAGAATGGAGAACAGCAGGTACAGGTAGGAAGGTGGTGGAGAGGTTTGCTCCAGAGCCAGGGAGATCACAGGGCTTCAAGCCAAGGGGCAGGCACACACCACAAGCCACCGACAGAACTGGGAGCACAACCCAGGACAATGGTGGTGAGAAACCTGTGGTGGTGAAAACCACAGGGAAAGCCAGGCTTTGTGTTAAGTCAAGTGCAGAACGTCCTGGAGGCTCAGCAGCTTTTCCCAGTATCATGCTGGAGGTTAAAAAGCTTTGCACCACTTCTACCACAAAGAGGGAACTAGCCGTGGCAAAGGTCCCAGCCCTTCCCTAAGCCGTGCAGATGTTGGGCCCAGCCACACTGGCTCTTTGCCCTGTGCAGGATACACGTGGGCTTAAACCCTGGTACCTCACCTGTCCCATCTGGAGTTGAGCACACGTAGGTGGGCAGCATTTTCACTGTTGCCTCTGCGTGCGTCTCCTTGCCCAGCCCCTTCTCCATCTCTATCCTCATCCTTTGCTTCACCTCCAGCAGCTGCTCGTGGCTCAGCTTGAGCGCCTCCAAAATCTTCTGCCGTGCCTTGTGCTGGGCAGCCAGTCTGTAGGCCACCGCTGTCACCATGGCTGCCCCTTTGCCGCTTCCATCTTCTGACCTGACGAAACGGATCTCGCAGTCTGGCAGCAGCTTACGCACCGTCTTATGGAGGCGCCGGGCAAAGCTACGGAGGAGGAAAGAGGACCTGAGCATGCCACCACGGGTGGTGTGACCCTCTGGGGTTGTAAATGGCCGGGGCCCCTTTGGGATCCACACAGAGGTGTCCAGGGGAATATTTGGAGATGCTCTGCTTGTGCCAAGCTTTACCCGCTGCTGGCAAGAACAGATTTGTGCTCTCTCCCCCTCCCTCCCCACTGGCCTCGCCCATCCTCATGGACTCACTGAGGATGCTTCTTGTAGACGGAGCCATCCACGCCGACCGTGGACCGCAGCCGGTCCACCCCCTTGTTCTCCTTGATGCGTCGCAGCACAGCCCCCAGGGGGGCACCGCACAGGCTC